TCAATATGGAAAAAAATGACAATTGATGACTAACTCCAATTTTCAACAAACTGAAATGAATGTTCTAAAGTTGAACAGAAATCACACCTTTTGGGTGTAATCTTTGGTCACCTATAGATATAGGCTCAGGTGGATAAAGTTCTCTGGTACATGAATGGTGAAAGTGCTATAAGAAAATAATGTTAAATCTAAATTCTTTACTTATTTTGTCCTCACGGTTTTATATTGTCCAGTGTCATCTTTTATGTTTATGATGCCCATGGGAGAGACATTTGGGGGCAGGTGGGCCTTTAGCATTCCTCGGATAATAAGTGAATGAGTTTATTTTTATTTACTGACCGGTACCGCCCCCCAAACATCTAACTTGTTTTCAGAGCTGGTTATCCTTTATTCCGTTTTGTTTGGGAGAGAAATAAACTCTAACAGTCATTGGATGAGTTAAAAATACAGAGGTTCAGAGAGGACAAATAACTTTAAAAGAGGACAACGCAGTCTCTTGACTTCCAGTCTTCAGTTCCTTCCATAGTTTATGTGGCCATGGTATGACTGCAAATGTAGTATAGATAAACTGGATAATTTCTGTGAAGTTCTTTAAATTCCTGGGGAAAATGTAGCATTTATGTACAAATCATTATCCTTGAACATTCAGATTCTTGTCAATTTCCTTGTGAAGGTTCTGAGATTGAAGTACTAATTCAGCTAAAAGGCTCTCAAAACATGCAGAGTCCTTTGTTTGATTATGTGCATTATTGCTGGACAGATATATATATACATATATATATTTTTTTCCTATAAAATCATAATCATCACTCATTCGAGAAATTCCTTACTTAGTAACATGTCATTTCAATCAGACTTTATTAAGTAAATAGATCTCCATTAGGATATAGACATGCATCTGATTCACAGGGGTAACTCAGCAATTTGTGAAGAGGTAACTGGCTTTGGTGCCTTCAGTCTGTGCCTGTGACCAGGTATCCTCTAGTCAACTGGTCTCTAAGTTACTTGTTCATCTTTTTTGTTTTAGGTTGTTGTTTGTTTTGTCTTTAATAAAAAAAAAATTTTTTTTAGACTTCTACAGCTTCTCATGTGTTTTTAGGTTCCAACTTAGTAATTATTTAACATACAGACATATTTTCGAAGAAAACAATAGGTTTCTTTTGTAGCCACCAGGGTTGCTTAGAGATACTCTGTAACTAAACACTAAACAACTGTTTCTCCCAGCTCTGTGGGGAGAGGGTACTGGTTGTGGGTTTAGTGATCTTTTCATATTTCTGATGCATATGAAGAAGAGAATAGGTATCTGGGTTTTTCCCATTGACTTAAATGTTTCTATGTAGAGATATTAAAAATATTTAATAGTCAATAAAGCAGACATACTAACAAATCAGAGTGGAATTCCACTGAATATACCTAAACAGTGACACTTGTATCGACAGGTCAATGAAAAGCCCTATTCTAAGGGTTTCTTTAAGGTCTGATAGTAAAACTATCATAGACCTCTCAGAGCAGAGTTGGGGAAAAATGTTAGCTTATGACTTATGAAAAAATCTGTATTTTGGAACTCTTCCAGGAGAAGAGAGATCTTAGGGAGGCCCTGGAAATGCTGCCTAGTGTCTGGCATCAAAGGGAATCCCATCATTCATTCCATGGACGCTATTTCCCTTGCCTGATTCCATATGCTCATGGAACTCTCATTGACACTGAGTGCCAATCAAGAAGTAAAATGTCATTTCCTCTAATGCCACTTCCTATAGTCCATAGGACTTATAGGTCATTATATGATTTCCTCCTATAATATAGATTACTTTCTTGGTAGCAGCTACCTTACAGTTATGCATTATTTCTGTGTATAAATAATAACATTCTCAGCAAACACCAAAGTTTGAAATAGAACCTACCTTCAGTTTCTCAGGAGTGAAAGCGTTGCACATACTATAGTTAGACCAGGTTTTATTGTACTCCGGATGTTTATACCAATCCCCATTTTCATCACAGTATCTTGTAGCCTTTTCTGTTAATAAAACACAACAGTTATTACATTAGTATTTCAAAATACTAAGAAGGAAAAATAATAAATTAAGGCTTAAAAACCATTCCAAAGTGTTAACCACTTTATAGAAGTTCAATGTAAATATCAGTCAATAAACACTATTGTGAATCTACTGGATTATACAGATGTTTTAGTTACACAAGATGTTTTAACATGCATTGCCTCATTTTATCTTTAGCAGAGCTGTGTAAAGCAGACATTGCTATCTCCATTTTACAAATAGATTGTAGAGAGTGAGAGAAGTTATAGAGTTTGAAAAGTCAATAGTGGGTGAGTTAGGATTTAATCCCAGGTCCCTCAGACTCCAAAGTGTTACCTACACTGTACCTCATATTTTTTAACAGACATTAAACTTCTGATTTTAGAAATATGTGAAAGAGCAAGATCATACTTTTCTTCATTTATACACAATATTTATTTATTAGATTGACCATATGAAACTGCAGGGTTTTTTTTTTTGGGGGGGGGGATTCAAATGGGTCAAATGCTGGCAATTTCATATGGTTAAATTTAATAGAACGAAAAGTCCAAAACTAAAGGGCATATCGAGAGCAATTGCAGAATAGCTCTTTGTGCCAGTCAAGTTACCTCTAATAGAATTTGTCAAATTGAGATGAATGAAGTGTCGTTTATTGGGAGGAGTCAGTAAAGATCTGAAGGATTTAGTTGGAGTTTTAGGAATGTAGTGCTGAGTGGGGAATAGGATTAAGCCCTTTCTCTTTTTACATCCCAGCTTTTCCAGAGAATTCCCAGAAGTGGCTAGCCTGAACTGGTTTGATTTATTTTTTAATTTAATTTAATTTTTAAATTAGATGTATTGGGGAGACATTGATTCATAAAATTCTATAGGTTTCAAGTGTATGATTCTATCATACATTATCTGTATGTTGCATTGTGTGTTCACTACCCAAAGTCACATCTCTTTCTGTCACCATGTATTTGACCCCCTTTACCCTTATCTACCTCCCCTGCAATCTCATTTCCATTATCTCTTGTCTTACTGGGGTAGAACTTAGGATCTCATCCTTGAAGAAAGCACAAAAAGCATCTCCCAAACCTTGTTTCAGGGATAGACTAATTTGTCTGTTCTAATCCAAATTCCAGAAACTTTCTTGACTAGATTTGCAATCCGACTGCTGTTTTCTCTCTTAACTGATGTCTTCACTTTCAGTCTATGGGCAATTAACCTCTTGTCATTCATGGTCAATGAGCAACAATAACCAGATGGGCTGGTTGACCCTGAAATGTGGTAGAAACTCTAACCAAACAACTCTTGAAAAAATCTTAAAGTCAAGATTGATTTTCCATAGCCCGTTAAGCACAAAATAAACGCTGATTCCTCCTTTCAAAATGCTGTTTCTAGTTCAGACCAGATAATTCAAGGAAGATCCTCCTTTGTCAAGCCCCTGGCATCCCCTTTCACTGGTTGGATGTTTTAACTCCTTCTGGGGAGCCTCTCCCTAAAGGACACTGAAAGAAGAAGGAAGAAGATGAGCACTCTGAGGTGCGGAGGGATTACTGTGTTCTGTTATATCGCATCTTGTTAGAAGATGTATGGAGATCGAGGTGGAATGACCTGCTTGCCTGAGGCCTGGTCCCACAGCCTTCAGATTCACCACTGAGAGGCTTTCAGATTCACCTCTGCAGGCTCAGGCTCACTCTGCTCTCGGGAACAAATCTCACCCCTTAATAGGGACTTACATAGTGTGTCTATAGCTGGACCTACTTACTTTCACTATCTGAGTCTCCTTTATAAATAAGACTTACATTCCCTTTTCAGTGTCTTAATCCCAGATTTACTTCAATAGGACAGATTTTCTATCTGGTTTCTTGGAACAGAACTTTTCTGGCCCTAATACCTGCAGTTCCTAGAGCTGGGTGGCTACTACCTTTCACTCCTCTGGGACCCACCTTCTTCTGTGGCCTGTACTAGTCTCATCTGATACTATGTTCTGCCTCCTACTGGCACAACTACTTAGCAAACTGGTTGAGCTTCCCTGGTACTGGCCACTTTCTTAATTATTTAACATATTTTCTTCTTGGTTGCATATTTAATCACAATCGCAGAACTTTCAACAATTTTGATGCCCGGCCTGTACTTCAAACTAATGAAATAGGAATGTTTGAGGTGGTAACATGCATCAGGATTTCTTAAAGTTCCCCAGCTTCTTAGCCAAACTGAGAATCACTCTTACTATTAGCACCTACCCAATCCCAATTCTCTACACCTGTGTGTCTAATCTCTGGATTGAGACTGTTAGACAACTTCATATATCTCCTCATACATTCCTCTGTATTGCTCCTGACCACTAACCACTGAGCATCCTGGATGCCAGACCTCCAATGTATCTGGATATCTGAAAATTCTAAGATATATAACTTCAGTCCCCGGCTTCTCACTCCGCTTTGTACTCGGTATTCTGAAACCTTTATCCTGCCTAACTTCAAACCACAACAGTGTGACTGGATTGAGGCTTGAGGGAAAAACCTATCTTCCCTGAAAGTTCTAAAAGCACTTCAGTCTGACCAAGTTTGTTTGGAGATACATAAATACTGTTTCTTAAATGCTTTTCCAAGACTGTTGTTAGTACTATTTATACAGAGATGTAAGAGATCAGGAGACTTGGGTTCACTTGTGCTTTTGTGTCAAATGTTGTGTGAATATAAAATGAGATGCAGTAGTCCCCCATTATCCACAGGGGATTAGTTCCAAAACCCTCGGTGGATGCCTGAAACCATGAATAGTACTGAACCATGTATGTGTGTGTGTGTGTACACACACACACACACACACACACACACACACACACACATATAATGTTTTATATATGTTTTTTCTATACATACTTACCTATGATAAAGTTTAACTAATAAATTAAGCACAATAAGAGAGATTAACAATACCAAATAATAAAAAAGGACAATTAAAACAATATACTGTTATAAAAGTTTTGTGAATGTGGTCTCTCTCAAAATGTCTTGTACTGTACTCACATTTTCACTTAAAGGAAGCACTTTATGGCTTCTTTTTGGCATACTCAAATTGCCAGTATCACAACCTTTGCACTTTGGGGCCATTATTAAGTAAAATAAGGGTTGTTTGAACACAAGCACTGCAATACCAGGACAGTTGGTCTGATAACTGAGATGGCTACTAAATGACTAAATGGCAGGTAGCTTATACAGAGCAGGAATATACTGTACAAAGAGATCATTCACTTCCTGAGATCGATGGCACAAGATTACATCACACTACTGAGAATAGAACTATACAATTTAAAACTTATGAATTGTTTATTTCTGGAAAATTTCCTTTATTATTTTCAGCCTATAGTTGACCATGGGTAACTGAAACCACAGAAAGCAAAACTGAGGATGAGGGGGTACTCCTGTAATATGTATGAAAATGTTTTGAAAAGTAAAAAAATGATATTTAATGAAAAGTATTCCTATGTTACTTTTATAACTAAAGTGGATTTGGTGTCACTATTTAATGTAACAGGCATTTGCTTACTGTTTGTGTTGCATAGGACATAGAATTGGGTGTTAGTGTGATCCATTTTAACAGTATTCATTTTAGTTTCTGAGCATATTTTAATAATCTACTGTTAGAACAGAAATCTAGTGTCTGTAGTTACTACCTTCTAATTTATTTTCCCATACACATAATGGTTTTATATCATTTTCAAGGTTATATAAAACTTCTGTTGTTCATATTATACCAGCCTAGTATTCACAAACCCTAGGTCAAGCATTTGCATAAGTAACCAAAATGTGACAACTGAAAGTTTCTAAAAAACACATTAAAAAATTGTTCATAGTTTCAGCAAAATTAATTTAAATGTTTATTAAGATTTAATATTAAATATTTAAAATATGTAAATTGTTAATTTTTATTCAAAATATAATAGAATTTCTGACCAATGTGCTAACTGACTGGTCATATTACCTAAGAAATAAGGACAACTTGTAATATTTGTACAACTGGGTAATATTTCATTTATGGAAATGTTTCAGAACATGCTAAAATATGTAGAGTATGGTTAGGTAGATATATTTTATAACTGATTTTCTTTTCCCGACCATGGAAATTCTAAAAGCTACGTACAAAATGTAAAATAAAAATAAATATTCTACCTGTTGGATCAAAGTCGGGAAAATAATCTGGGCAGTGCTGCTGGGTGACTACTCCAGCCGGTGTGTCATCCCAGCACAGCCATCCATCCCAGGTGCGGTTGCAGTATGGACCTGATGAGTTAGAAAGAAATGAACATTGCAGTTGTCAAAAACTGCAGAATCCTCAGCAGGATTTAATAGTGCATACACAGTTATTTTCGGGCTCTCCTCTTGGATATTGAAATATTAAAAGCAATTGTAGGAGCAGCAGCAACAAAATAAAGGTATTAACTTTACCAACTACTAATGAAATTACATTTTTGTAGGGATTTCTCCATTTGTTCCTCATAGACACATGTCTTCGGTATGACATCTTTTCTTCAAAATATTTCCTTTAAAATATCTCTAGAAATGCTTGTTACAAGAGAACTCTTGTGAAAGTATACACAATCTCACTCTTGGCTTATTTTGAAAAAAAACTATATGGCTTTGGAACATATGTATCCTATCAACCACTACCTTCAAAGGGGTTGCCTTGGGTGGTTCTAGTCTTAATCCAAGGGTGATGCAATGGTTCAAAATTCTTACTAAAAATGCATTTGTAGCCAGTTGGATCACACATATAGTCTTATTATTTTAGAATCACACTTTATTACTGGCTAAAACAATCCTCAGTTTGGTCATTTTATGTATTCATCAACGTTGGCTCCAAGTGGTTTTCTACTGCTTTCAAAAATTAAATCTACCCTCAAAAATAAAGTTTTAAATAATGATCAATTGAACAAAAGTTCAACCTCCCAAGATAACTAAGACTGAAGTGAAGGTTATTGCACTCACTTGGTCTCTGAAAAGATCAGTTTTGTGTTTCTACTGTTTCATCTGCTTCAAAGAAATGGTTTCTTTTTTTGGGGTGGGGGAGGAACAAGTTGCATCTAATGCCTCTCTAGTTTCTTAAAAACACTGAAACTACTGCAGACAGAAAAATAACATGCATCTTTTTTATTGACTTGATTTTTTGTTTAAAGAAAAATGCCAAAAATTAAAACTATTTGAAGGCAAACCATATGTAGTAATAGAGTATATTTAACCAATTTTCTCTCTTCCAAGAGTTGTTGTCTTAGAAGATACAAAGGTATATAAGATATTGTTGGACCTTTTCAACTGGTTTAGAAGATGGGGAGAGAATTTAAATGGACGTAGCAAAGCTTGGCCATCTTCCCTTTTGTTTTCCTCTGGGGCCTTTATGGCTAATAGAATATGTTTGGCCCTGAGAATATTTGGGCAATCACACAGAACTTTCTAAAGAAGGGGATAGATAAACAGTGTCTTCCTAGGAGATATCTTTTTCTAATTTCTCTGGGAACTGGATGTAGAAAAGGAGAAGGAATAACATGAGTTGTCAACCAAGTGACAGCTAAGGAAACATACTGCCTAATCAACCCAAACAAGACAGGGTTTTGACAGAGTCCACCTCAGGCAAATTCTCTGCCCACCATTTTCTAATTTCCTTTCTGTTGTTTTCCTATTCTACTCCCTCACTTAGTCCTGTATTGTTCCTGCTTGCCAAGTGTGAATACCGAGTGAGTTATTGCAGTAATTTTGTCATAAGTGCAGAAGTTGGTCAGAAAGTCTTTGGATGAACTTGAACAAAGAAACTAAGCATGTCTGTTGCAGGAAATACACAAACATACCATGGTATGAAAACCACTGTTAAAACTCCTGGTGTATTAAATTAAAACTAGTCAACACATATTTACCCATGGAAGAAAATAAACCTTCAATGATGTCTGAAACACATGTTTACATACATCCTTCTTTTTACCTTCTCCTTGGAATGGGGGTAACTGTTGCATTCGGCGGTAGCATTTGTTCTCTGCATCCATCATTTTCCTTCGTCCTATGACGTACAGGAATGGCTCGGACTCTAGTGCTGGAGAATAGGTGTTATTTGAAGAGGTAGGAAGAACCGGGGTTGGGTGCTGTATTAGAAACAAACAAACAAAAAAATCAGTTAGTTATCAAGAGTAGGGATGGGTGTATACATAAGTAAATGAAGCAATAAAAAATTTGAAAACATTTATTTTTCCTTCTGTAAACAATAATTATGCATGGTCTCCATGTAGAATATTTTTGCTTTGTAACTAATAAGTATTTATATTTCATCTACAAATTCTACCTACAAATTTCATACTTGCATTTATTCCATTCACTACTGAAAATGTATAGCACCCATACAAATTCACGTACCTCTTTATCATATAAGATTGTTTTAATTTTATTATCACCGTAAAATTTAGATGTAGACAAGTCATATAACCTGATTTCCAAAAAATAGTAATATTAAATCAACTTTACCTTCTTTGGAACTCCTAAGAATCATGAATCATATTATTAAAAATAGATATATTAGTGCACTAAGTAAGCCTTTTAAATTGGATTTCTTTGGCTAATTTCTTTGTGCTTAGATTGTTCACACCGCCCAAAATTTACCCCATTTATTCCATAAAACAAACAAATCTGTTCTTCTAAGAGATTCTGCCTTGGATAATTGGCCTTAATCTCTTTAATTGGTTTCATTAGCAAATGACCTATACAGGGTAATTTGTTTTCATTGGTGAAAATCAATGTAAATCTTGAATATTTCTCTTACATCTTTTGAATTTTTGGTTCGGCTGACATTAGTTTTGTCAGTCTCGATTAATCCTCATCACCATCATAGGTCCTGTTTATCAAAGTTGTGTGTGCGTATGTCTAAAAGGATCATTGTCTAATATATCATCTTAATTTCTGTTATATAGATGCCAATTTCTTTTGTGGCTATGATGTTTTAGTGGTGCTTGAATCTGTGATTTTTTTATATCCATGTTCTGCATAGAGACTTTTGGAGAAGGCTTGCAAACTTCAGGCTGCACTGACTTTTCTTCTTCTGAAGTTCGGAATACCCCTTATTCTCTCTATCACACCTGTTGAAATACACTTTTATTTGTCTTTATTCTGTCTAAATTATTCTAACATTGAATTTTTTCCATCTATATTGATGAAATAATAGTGTTATATACTTTTCTCTTTTCCCAACAGTCTCTTATTAAGTTAATTGATATATCCCAGGCTATTCATGGTATATGCACGTGTAGAGGAGAGGGAAGCACTTCTGGATGGAGGGAAAGGAACACATATAAGTCCAGAGGTAGGAAATGACATGTGTGAGATATTATAAGGAAACCATCTGCCTGGAGGGGAGCATATTTGAGGGTTAGTAATAGAGTAAAGGAAAGTCAGATAATACAGAGCCCTGAAAAAACATGAAAGTGTTGAGACATGAAAAGTTGAGACATGAAAAGTTCAATAAATTTTAGCTAATATTATTAACATGATAAGGTTGTAAAGAGAAAGTGTTAGTAAAATTCATGTGGTAGGCATCAGATATCCATTGATTAGTTGAGGAGAACAGCCAGGAAGCTGAATGTATGGACTAGATCATCTCATGGCAGAATATGAAAGAGCAACTCTCAGCATTTTATCAAATAATAAGAATGTGAAGGCATATTTGAATAAGGAATGGAGAATAGTTATAGTCATATAGCCCAGAGATTTTAGCCTATATAACTGGGAAAAAATGGTAGAGCCTTGAGAAAGGGGAGATGTTGAAAAAGAAAAATCTTACTACAGGAAGAAGGTAAGTTCTCTTTTGGACTTGTTTGGGAGGTGCCAGCAAGCCATTTGAGAAGAAATCACTTGCAAACAGAAGAGGATAAGTAATTATTACCATTATAACATTGGTATTATAACTCTAGATGAATACTTATTATGAATATAGTTGACACTACTGTTTAAATATTAAGATTATTTCTAATTTTAATTCCTCTTGAATTTGACAGAAGAAAGAGAAATTAATGAGCCAACAAAAATGATTTAAAATGTACGAATTCTTTTTCAGAGTAGCTGAACACCATTCAGTTGTCTTATAACCCTTTTCCTTCTGGTTTTAAGATTAATCAGCAAATCGTTGAATTTGATGAGCCAAGCACTGTGCTAGATGCTGAAGATAGAGTGCTGAATACAAGAAGCATAGACCCTGCCCTCGTAGATCTTTCAGTTTAGCAAGAAGATCACTATAAAATATCACTGGAAATTCTGAAAAGTAAAGAATTATCAGTAGTTAAATGCTCAGATATTCCATCAAGGATTGGAATGTGATTTGGGAGTAAAAAAAATTATTTCAAAGAGATTTCATGTTAAGTCTTCATTTTGGATTTTATTAGCCTAACATTTGTATGAGTGTGTGTGTGTGCGCATTTATGTGTGTATGTATTAGCAATTCAACGCAAAATCATGAAATCATGATTTTATTTGGTGAATTGTGGTACCCTCGTAATAAAAAGATATTAATGATTGGTTCAACTTATGTATCTATTTTAGATTCTTTGTGGCTCTATTCTTAGAATCTTTAGTTGACTTGAGAATTATCATTTGATATATTATTTATTTCTGGGCCATTTTCTCGCCATCTTCAAATCAAATTAGAAGAGGAAATATGTCATATCTAAATCTTTTCTGTCACTTATTTTAGATATTTTAGATACTAGGGACTATTTTTGCTTTATTCCTTCCAGAAGTAACATTCTGAATTCTATCTTTAAGTGGACTGGATAACCAATTAAAAAATGTTCCTGCACTAGTTGGAAATTAATGGAAGCCATGGGGAGGCAGTATGTGCAAATATATCAAGTGGAAAATACTATACTTGTACTTTCAATTACAGCATTATTCGGATTAATGCAGTTTTAACACCAGTGAATTGGAACCATCTGAAAGAGTAGGTGTAGTTTATTCAGAAGACAGTAGTGTCAATCTTATCATTCTTGCAATATTGAAACAATCTCCAGTGAACTTTGTTTGGAGCCGGTTCAGTAGAGATTGTTTCAGCACTGAAGGAATGAGGAATCAGAACTTCGTTGTTAGATGAGCCATAATAATCGGGGTCCGCTTCTGGCCTGGCTCTTGTTTGAGTATTGACAACGAAATTTTTCCAGTGGTCGCTGAATGGTTCAGTGACTTTCTTTTGAAAATAGCATACGCATTGAGGCATTCTGTTATATATAAATATATAACAGATATGATGATATAGACATATATAAAATTATTTATATACAAATATGTATAAAATATGATTTTATGCTCATATGAAGATAGAAATGAGACATTAAGAGTATATAGCACCTCTGAATGAAGATTAGTGTTCAATGTTTTGCATACAAGCCATCTCACATGAACCTTCCAAAACAAACAAAAAAAACCCAACCTCTTAATTGTTGTCCTATGCAGCAGTTTAGCTGCCGTATATGTGATGTCACTCCTAAGGGTTCAAGTAAATGGCGCCACACATACGACCACCAAGCTGCCACCGACAGCTGTAGTCCGCAGCCGAAACACCGCTGGTTCTTTCAGGTAATAAATACTCTGACTGCCTCCTACGTGCCAGGAAATGTTCTAGGTTCTGGAGATTCAGCAGTGGACAAAAATGTCAAGACCCCTGCCCCCAGGGAGCTTACAGTCTAGGAGGTCTCGTCCACGCTAGTCATGGAGTCCAGAGGAAAGCAATCTGATGGGAATGGTAATGCACTCAAGCAATTTCTACTTTGATGGAAGATAATCAGCCTACTTTTGTGTTATGGGTGGCTTCTATAAGGACAGAGACAGAACAATTAAAGAGCTGTTCTGTGTAGAGAAAATGGTCCCTCTCTGCAATGGTCTAAACCTACTGAATTGGGACCCATGCGACGGTGCTGAAAGGAGAGAGTCCTATTGTCTGCCACAGACAGAACTGCTCTAAGGGGAATATGAACCCGGAATCCACAACTAAAACCAACAGGATTTCCACGTCGCTGTCCTTAATAACGACCACGTATATGTTACAATTATTTGTAGTTTTCAGTTACTTATGTTTTTCAAAATAATGAAGGATAAAATAGAACTTTGTAAAGTGTTAATCCTCGTTCTTCCACATGGGATTAGATGCCTGGTTAATATCCTGTTTACTTTCTACTTAAGCAGTAGATAAAGGACGAAATTGCTGCATGTATAATGAATTCAAAGCAAATGGGAATGCAGCATAGTAGACGGGATGCTTCTCAGAAGAACTGAGGTTTTCTATGTCTTCATCATTGGTCTTGTCATTGCTATCATCGTCATTACTGGCATTTTCTGAGTGCTCACTATGTGTGCTAAGCATCGTTTTAAGCCTATTGCTTTACTGCAAATAAGAGATAGGAAGTGAGTGGGTGTTTTTGATTTAATATAGATGAGGCTAATGGAATATGGTAACCCAATCTGCTACTTTAAAGTCCTTTTGGAAATCAGGTTGTTAGAATTCAATAAATACATTGGTAATGCTTTATCACAATAATGTATCTAAAAAATGACATTTTAGAATAATTAAAATCAATGTCATTTTGTTAAAAAATTTACTTTTCTCTGAAGAATATTAATGTGGAACATATGACTGTTGTAGAAGAAAATGGATGGATTAAAAATATTTTATGGACAAATTCTCCAAATCAAATATATAATCCAAAATCAGACAAAGAAGCAAATTTCTGTATGTCACAGCAAAGGGAGCATGAAACCATTTAAGTGTCCTGTGCAGTTATGTTTGCTAGTAAAAAGATGCCCACAAACCAGAAAACATTTCTGTCCATGGTTCATGCAAATATATGAAATTCTTTCAATCTTTGAATTTTAAAATATATCAGGTAAAAATTTTGAATAAAAGTGACCTACTTTAGTTTTTTAACACACCAAAAATTGCCTGTAGCCTTTGTAATAGAAAAGGTGAGTAGATAAACTATCTTGTTATTATGTGTCAGTTACTTTAGTTTTCCTTCTATCAATGTCTAATATAATTATATACTTTATGAAATGAAATTATGTAGACATATTCACATATAGTTGATCACATAGGATTTCACTTGACCCATGAAAAATAACAATATCAATTTATGAATAGAATATACCAATATTTCTCTATCTATAGAATAGTATGTAAGACTTGGGCATTTACAGACAAAATAAAATATTCTCATAGTTTCTGCTATTTCTCATTTAAATGTTTTTATTATATTTCAAATGGCATATAGCTACCTGCATTTCCAAATACTGGGTTACTTTTAGCAAATTATATTGTACTTTATCTAAAGATTAAGATAATATAATAATCTTACATAATAAAATAAACTATTCTCATTATCCAAATAGATACAAAAGGGTTACATTAACAATTATTTCCACAAACCATTTATTTGATGTATAACATTACAAAATAAAACTTCCTTTTAAAAATTAACATTAGTGGAATATTAGTAATATTTTTTCTTAAAAAAAATAAAGTTTATGTAAACTTATAAGCCTGTGACACATTAATGAACAATGAAAATCCTGAAAGCCTAGGCAAGCTTTGTTTGGGTGAGTATAACAGTATCAGATACTAAGTGATCTTTACTGCCAGCTGTCACTCATTGGCCAATATTGTTCTGGTGTAGAGAGCATAAGGTTCAAGACAACTCCAAATTTATGTAAAATTTACTCATCTCCTTTTCATATGCTATAAAAGTGATTTGATGGTGGGTTAACAAATCTGACACAAATAAATAGGCATTGGCAGGGTCTTCTAAGGCAATTATAGTTCTAAGTACTTGCTAAATCATTTAGGAATAAAACAATGTAAAATTATGTAAAGTTGAAATGATTTAAAAGACTGAAGAGTTATGGAATGACGATGGTATGTTAACACTTAAAATTCTTAGTTTTTGATAAGAAATAAATTTGAAAAATCAATAGACTGAAAGAGTTCAGATATTTTAAAAAAGATAGCATCCCAGAAACTATGACTCAAATCTATGTGTCTTACATGAAAAACATTTATCCAAACACATTATTAAACTTCAGTGTTAATTTCCAAGATAATGAAAAAATGTCTTGAACTAAAGCTAAATTTTTGTAAAAATACAAAGCTCACATTTCTGGGTAACACTAACACTAATCTAAATCAGTATAAGTTCAGAGGGGAGATTTATTAACAAAATATTAAGAAAATAATAGTTTTGAGAAACTTAGTTTTGGTTTCTGGAGAACAATGTGTTCTACCCTTGCTAATGCCCGTTCACTCATACTCAAACATTCCTTCCTATTTCACCATTCTTGATTAACATAGCTTAGAATAATTTTGTTTTACTTACATTTAGAAAGATGAACAGTACGAAGCACCAGCGAGTAAGGGTGAACTTCATTTTTGTTTTTGCATACGATTTTTTAATTCCTAGAAAATATAAAAATAACAAAGACATTTAAATTAATATAGCTTTAATATTGACTATAGTCTTCCTTTTTTCTTGTCTATTTGACTTGAAGAGGATTAACATCCCAAGACATCCTAAATAAAATCCATATAAGTAAGAACATTATGTTTGTAGCTACATATTCCATTGCCCTTCCTTTCATCCAGGAGAGATTGTTGTCTGGTTGTTTTCTGAAGTCCTCTTATTGAGATATTCTGGAGCCACCTTTACACATCAAGAACAAAATAAAAACTTCAGAGAAATCAAGAGCAATCAATGCGGGCTTCGATCAACATGTGGCATCAATAGAACTGCTAAAATTAACAATAGAGACACCCACAAAGAAGTCGCCTCATTGGGTATAAACAAATAAAAGGTGTGGTTTGTAAAGGATTAATAGTCATGTCTTCTAGGTAATCAAAAGGCCAACTTTTATTTAAGGAGTCTTATTTTTCTTTCCTACAAATTTTTCAAGCTTCCAGTTGCTATTAGAATAAATTTCTTTCATGGCAAGGATTGAGTATGTCACATAACAGGTTATCATTTTCACTCAAGACCACAGTAGTGAGAAACAGACTGCTTTGTCACAAGTATCAACAGTTTTTCATGACTCTGCAGATAATTTTAGATAAGGAAAGATAATAAAAGGGCAAAAATTAAAAAATATATATATTTCTTTTCATCAGTGAGATCTGTGTGAAAACTATATTTCAGCTAGGGGTGAATAGTTATGATAGTATCTAACACTGTATCAAAAACACTAGTTTAACTTTAACTCTTTATTCTCCAAACCTGTTTGAGCATGAAAAGAAAATTTATGATAACAATTATTAACTCAATTGCAGAATATACTTTGGAAAGTACTCTTTTGGGTCAATGGCAATTTCTAACCCACCATAGCCAGTTAAGTCTGCAAGTCATGAGAGAGAACTGGTCTTTAACTTAAAATTTTTGTTTCTTCTTCTCCATGGAGAAAAAGTAGAATTTCTGAGGTTTTAAATATTCCCTAGCCTTGGTACAAAGCCCAAAGTTATTAAAGGCATCTCAGAGACAATTGCTGCTTTGGAGCATTATTTGTTAAGAGCCTCTCTAATACCCTGGCTGTGAAAATGGGGAGTAGGATGAGGGGTGTGGGCAAAGAGTAGGAAAGAGAAGAGGTGGGCATTGCTTATCTAAAAGCAGCTATGGGCTTTTGTCACCCAAGATCTAAAATCTGTTTCAAATTTGAAATTTGGTATTTCTTTTGAAGACAAAGCTATTTAATATGTTTGCAGATGTAGTTCGAGCGAGCAGGAAGTGAATTTTGTGAAACCACAGGATAGGCTAGGGCCTTAACACGGGCTTCTGTTTGGATAACCCTTGATTATATAACCTATTTAGAAAATCATTCTTCATTACTACAGTAACTAATATGCCAAGGCATAATGTTGTCATAAACCCAATTTACGTTGCCACATGAAGCAAAACAGAGTGCCTCATCATGAGTTTAAAATGCCCATCTAGATACAAACTTCAAGTCTAGTTGGTAAAACCTGGCACCCTCTGAATCAGGGAGCTGCTTTCGGTAAGCAGGTTGGCATGCCATGTGAAAGGAAGAATCTAGATGAGAATTGAAGCAGAATAAAACTGATGTCATATTGAAAAGAATAAGACTTTTTATTTGACTCACATCAATAACCTGATACAGTAAGTGCTCAATAAACATTTATTGAGTGAATCAGATAGATTGCCTCTATGCAGCTGGCAACATTAATAAATGGAGAGATCTTGGAGAAATGATTCAGAATCATGTGCAGTTCAAAATTATGCCATTACTCAAATGGATATTATTAATAGATAATTTGGCTAGTTGAAACTAATTTAAAGAAAGGGATTTGTAACCTCACAGATTCTTTCTAGTACTAGATCTCTAGTAGCATCCATGATAGAGAAAGGAGAGATAAAAATTGTTGGTTCAAATCAATTTAATGAAAAATACATCACGTATTTATTACATGTGTTTTAAAACCATTTCAAGATAAAGTTTAACTTCAATATGGGAGACATTGGGAGAAAAATAATTCAGTCTGAAAGGTCAACATAAGCAAAGATGAGGATGTGGGAATCCTTGCATGGATTGAAGAAATTCTAAGTGGGCTGATTTCAAAATCCATATTCTTAGTCAGTTCATATATACTGCCATATAACAAATAAAAAATAAACTCAGTTTTGAACAAATGGGATTTGAATTGTCAACAGGGTCTTCTACTTGGAAACCTAAAATTCACCTGATTGTAATTAGCATGTTCACAAGTTCTTTATAAGCACTTCTCTTGATATCAGCTACAGTGAATATGGAAAAAGGAGTCGGTACAGAAAAAAATACTGGGTTAAGGAATAAGAGATCCACATTCTATTCATAGAACAACTTCAAACTCACTACGTGACTTTTACGTAAGTTACTGCACTTTTCTGTACATCAATTTCATTATCTATAAAATTAGGTTGCTGGACCATAATTAAAGGTTCTTTGTACTCCAACCTTAGTTCTAATTGAGCTGCAATAAAATACAAAAAAAATATATTTTTCAGAGAAAGACAACACAGCGAGTAGATAAATAGTTAGTCTATTTGATCCTCCAATAGAAAATAAACAAAACCAGGATTTTCTGCATTGTATTCTCCAAAATATGATCTCTGTGACCACTCATTTAAAACAGAAAAGAAACTAGTTCACTGGGACAAAGTTTGAGAAATGTGGATTACCATGTGCTCTTTTCTAGAAAAATTTTGTTTATCTTAGAATAATTGATAAGATATTAAAGGTTCTGAGAAGTCCTGCAACAATGGACCTTTTAAATAAATTCATTTAAATTAGCTGTTTTTACTAGTTATATTTAACAGTAATAATGTGCAACAACACTCAAGGAATAGACTGGCAAGATTGGCTAATAGTTGACTTCCATTGATTTCAGTGAATGAAAAGCATGTTGCTTTCTTTTTATTAGCAGAAAAGACTGTAGTTATAGGTAAGAGTTACAGACTTAGCATTTCTTTATTATACTGGAATAGAAATTGCAAGACTTTACCACAACTTTTCTGGATTATTGCAACTCTGATGAATCGATGATTGAGTTAAATATGTCGGTGCTTTGTTTTGAAAGTCCTCTTTCACAAATACTAAAATGTGAAAAATGTCCTTCTCTCTTACCCAGGGGACTTCCTGAGAGGTGTTGTAGTGGCTGATAAAGCTATAAATCCTTTTGAGTCAATCTTTAAAATATTTATGTAGATTAATGTCATACATACATTGAATCATTCTATAAATACCAAACTGAAATTTAAAATCATGGGTTTATGATTTAGTCCTTATATATACATTATTGTGTCCTTATAAATACACTACTGAAAAAATCCTCTTTCGGAAAAAAGTCATGCCTGATTTCATTAGATGATGGAATTGAAAGGGACTCTAGAATTCAAATTTTTCAAACTTCTCACTGTATATAGATAGTTAATGAAAATCTACTGAAGTAATTTTCCTCAAATCAGTTAGAAAATTAGTAGAAGAGCTCTGGATACACCTCTATCATAGATTCTCAAACTAGCGTATATTCTAAATTACTAACCTACCTCTTATCAAAGGATTTTCCTGGCTGGCTTCACTCTTCTGCAATTGAAGCCTCTAAGACCCAGTCTGGTTGGGATAGAATTAACCCATGACCACAGTTGCAACTCTAGTCCAGTTTGATTTTTCTTAATCAATTTCACGAATTCTGTTTGGTTCTGATTTCAAAGATATCTTAAGGTAGAAGGTGTCTAGACCTGGGCTAAATAAAGACATGACTCATGTGTGGTATTATTCAAAATATTTAACTATCATTGATACTTAAACATCCACCAACTAGAACAATTGCTGGTTGTTAACCACTGGCACTGTTATGCCAGTGCTCACTAGCTGTAAACCAGCCTTAGAGCTCTCCTCTTGCCTCCGCTCTCCCGTAACCATGCTGTTCATTGTGTATGTATCTCTGTGTGTTTGTGTTTGCAGAGATGGAGGTGGGGTGGAAAGAGTCAGAGAACATTTATTGTATTTATAAACTCACTCATCAAATATTTACTGAGTCAGATGCACTTCTTGCTCTTATGAGTTTTTATGCACTACAGAAAATGCTTTGAGTGTGAGCTACCCTTTGTACTCCCCAATTTATACACATTTCCCAATCCTCTCACCTTTTCTGGGAGTCTACACAAAGATATTTCACTTACAACCTTATAAGGGACATGTTTGTCCCTATATTTCCAAATCCAGTAGTATTTATTCATTAATAGAGGAAAGAACCATCATATGTAACTTAATCATCACAAAGCTTTTTTTTTCTTCCTACTAAATTATTTAAGGACCCATTTGTCTGAAATTCGAGTGCTTTGGAAAATATTATTTTTGCATGGCTGTATAAGTAGCTCAAAATGTTTTGTCAAATTAGCTGGATTACCTTGAAAAAAAAACAGAGGAATTAAGTCGGAGGAATTAATGACACCAGGGATGACCAGTTGTGTTGGATCCCTAAATGTCAGCCATAATGATACAAATAGTTTTCATTATAGCGGTGGTTTCCTACCATGACCCTAATAGCTAATATTCAAGGCTCTGATCTAGGTGACTTTTATCTAAAATAATGGTGTCAAAATCAATATCGATGTGGCAATTTAATATTTCAGGTGAAGTAAACATTTTGCAACTTGTTTTATTAAAAAAACCTTGGTCCTTGTGAGAAACTTTTATATGACTTACTTTGCCAGTTCATTTTTAAAAAATTAAATATATAAAGAAGTTATAGTACATAAAACAAGACTTAGCCAATCATAAATTTAATTAGAAACACCAAAGAAGAAATCTTAATGAATATGATTAGGTTTGAGCATGTAGTTGGAGAAATAACTGAGAAGCACACAGCCAAAGTTCAGTAAATTCAGAAT